GTTCCTTATAAATTTCTACCCAGGCTCAAGTCTAAACCAAAAGATCACTGCCTTGCTGAAGCCTCCCCTGATGTGTTCTAGCAGAATCAGCCTGTGTATTCCTACAAATTCATGGAACTGTCCGGAAGTGACTCTGTCCATGTCTGTTTGTCTGCCCATCACTCAGCATCCAGAAGGCAAGCCCTTCAGAGGCATAGGCTTCCGCTTCATTTTTATGTTGATTCATGAGAAACTGGTTTATTGCATCTCTGTTACTTAGCTCAAGAAAATAAAATAAGGATGGTTATCCAGAGATGGGCAAGCAAAGAATATATCAAAGGTCTCCCATGTGCTTCATTTGATCATACCTACAATTTAACATATACATTTAGCTGCACATCCCTGCCTTAGCTAGTGTCAGCTAACTTTTCTGTAGGACTCAAGAGGAGTTCAGGAGATAGCCATGTTGACTCAGTTATTCTTCTCTCCATGCTGGGATAAAAATACCTGACACAAAATTAAGGATGGAAGAATTTATTTAGCTCACAGTTAATGGAAGTTTCAGTCCATACTTGGCTGACTCCCAGGTAAAACAGCACGTAGCAGAGAGCAGCAAGTAGTTTATGGCTGCAGAAAACAACAAAGAGCAAGAGCAAATGGGAGGAGTAGCAGAAACAATGGCAACAAAGAGCAAGTCTGTCTTACTTATGTTGCATTCAGGCTATCTAGACAGGCCGGATGTAGCACTCAAACCCATAATCCCAGCAGCATTTATACCCATAATCCAGCAGCACTCACACCCATAATCTCAGCACTAGATCATGAATTAATCACAAACTCTAGAAGTCCACCCCATAACTGCATGAGGCTTTGAAGGGACAACTAGACTCAACCATAACACACATCAAAATAATAATAGCAATAATAATAATAATGGTGATAATTATGGCAGCACCACTGAGTTCACCCTTTTAAAGATCATCTTATCATGTTGTATGCAGTACAAATCCCCCCAAACTTCTTCCCAGGCAACTTGATTAAACTAAAAGTCAAGATAAAACAAAATGAAAGAGAAGTGATCAACACAGGTACGCAGAGTTATGCTCAGGAAAGGAGACATACTTTCTACCCATTATTAAGCAAGTGACCCTTGGCTAACTTTTTAGCCCTCACCCGTGAAAGCTCAGATGACATAAAGCAAGGTCTGCAGACCATGGAGCACAGTGTCTGTCACATGGACGTGCACAACACATCTCATCTGTCATTGCTACTGTTGGGAGTGATCTCTCATCTCTGTCTGTGTCCATCACTAGTTAAATAAAACAAGATTAAAGATCCACCAGTTTGGTTGAGATTTTTTCCTTTGGTTTGATTTTGGGCAGTGGAAGAATACCTATTTTGCCTGGGATATAAGGCCTTCAGGTAACTGCTCACTGAATGCAACAGCGGCAGTCACATTTATACACTGAGGAGTTGCAGGGTATGCTCCATAAGTGAGCTGAGTGTCTGTTTATGATTCCAATGACACCAGCTATAGACAAACTCTTGGCCTCCTTCTCCACAGTGGCCCATATCCCAAAATAGGAAATGTGTATTCACAGAGAGCCCCAGAAGGCACAGAGGGCTAGGCAGCTGACTGTGGACATCCATGTCTAAAACTGTCAGGGACAATGCCAAGCCCTGTGGATTCACCAGCACAAGTGAGTGGTCCCACCCCACCCCAGCAGCTTTCTGGGATTGACTTCTATGCAAATGAGATAATTTGGTGAGTTCTTGACCAGAGGCACCTGCTGATTATTCCTCAGCAGGGTATTGATGGGTGTGTGGTCTTCTACTGCTAAGAGCACACCATTTTCACTTTCCTAAAACATTTATTTCTGGGCTCTAAGACTCTATTAAAAAGCAGCAAGCGGCCAGTCAGAGATCTCTCTGCTGTAGCTGCCGAAATAATTGCTCTTGGCTTTGAGGAGGGACCTGAGTTATACATATAGGAGTACCAGAAATAAAAGCTGAAGCTTAAGTCTATTTTTCTGAAGTTTAGCCAGAGAGCTGATCTTATCTGTGAACCCAAGCTACTCCACCAAGTTTTGTTTAAAGTCTTTCTCTCTCTCCTCTTTGTCCTACAAACTCAGATTTTGACTGCTCTCTAAGAAGCTGCTTGACTACAAATTCCTTAAAGCTAGGGACAGGGCTTTTCATCTCTACCTGTGTGACAAGGCAGAAGTACCAGGTCAAGACGCACTAGCATCCGGACTGGGGATCAAAAACCTGACAGTTGAGCTAATGTTATTAATTAGTTTTGTTTTGTTCTCCCTAGATTTTATAACAGAAGTATACAATAGCTCCTCTTTCTCCGGAGACACAAAATTTTTCTCCTTAAAACCAGAAGCCTACCTTGAACCACCAAAAGGGTGTTACATCTGTACCGACCTTTCTTTGTTTTTAACATAGATCTTTAACCAGAAACCCTGGATCTCCATGCTTATTCTCCAAGCACTGCAAATATCTTACTTCTCTGAGAATAAAAGCTATACAGAGCTCTTCAAAATAGCCTATTCTTAATTTCTAGTGGAAAAAAAGTCTAACAGATTTTCTAGAAGTGAAATTAAATTCAAGTACTTGCTATTTAACTTTTGACTCTGTTTCATTGAAACCTCATTCTAATTGTGCTTATTATGGAGAAAAATAGGAAATGTCACTCAACTATCCTATTGAAGAATTCAAAGGCCTGATGAGATGAAGAGGTCCATTTGGCTCAGTAGAAATGAGACAATCTTCATTCACAGGCATATCCACAGGAGGGACACGTTTTGCCAGTTGAACCAGGCTTCACGGCAAGTAGATGCAATAAATGTGAATATGGGGGAAGCCAGTCATACAATTTCCAAATCATGCTGGTGCATTTGTAGGGAAGTACAGACGTGCTTCCAACTCCAGTGTTGTCATTTACTGGTTTTTCCTAACAAATACTGACCAAAGTGTGACAGCAAAATCCCGAGCCTCCTCAAGTTCAAATTTTCTCTGAAATAGACATTCCTCAATATGTGAGGATCAAATACCTGGGAAACTTTGAGAAACATTTACACACAGCAATCACAAGAGATGACCACATATTTAATAATAGCTGTGTAGGCTGCCGGGAAAGCCTCTGGATTAATCTGGAAAAAAACGCTTTTGTCTGTAAAGTAGCAGATTCACTCAGAGCACAGGCGTAAGAGGTCAGGATAAAAGACACAAGATTCGGGTCAAGACACCAAAATTCCAAGGATATAAATTATGCTGTGCTGCCATGCGCAACTTACATATCATCTCTAAGATGGAATTTCTCACTTATAAAAGTTTGGATACTGCCACCGCCCCCTTTGATTTGCAAGGATTGAAGGAGATACAGACTTACAGACTGTCTAAATCTGACATAGGCTAAGCACGTAATACTTGTTAGCTTTTATTACTATGACTTTTCTCTCTGACTGCCTTAGTCCCTAAATGAGTTCTGCTCCTAAGAGATCCACAAGATCTAGATACAAAGACAGACAATTAAATCAATGATTATGATCCAATATGGAAATCATCGTACATGCTGTGGCCCTTGTCTTCCATGGCAGTGTCTAGGAGGCAACCATTGCTTAATTTTATGAGTCAAAAAGAACTTTCTGAAGACACTGATGTCTGAGCAAAGATATAAAATAACTTAAATTCGCTTGTATAGAGAAGAGATTATGTGGTTTTAGGGACATGACGTTGTGTTCTGCAGGTAAGTCACAGAGGGGATGTACACAGTGCAGGTGGATTGTGATGAAAGAGTAGCTGAGGGATGAGTCCTATCACTGGTGCTATTATTAGAGGATCCTGGGAGCACTTTGCTCTATCATTGGAAGAAATTCAGTGGGAGAGAAGCATAAGGCATCAACTTAGAGGCCAGGCTGTGTGTGGAAGGTAGAAGATATGGAAGCTAATGAGGGAGAAATAATCCAGGAGGCAAAAATAAAAGACCTATTAGGTGGTGATTCCAGTAATATTGAAGAAAGAGGGTTAACTTGATAACTAAGAGTAAAATCAAAATGAATGAACAGGGATAAATTGGCCTAGGAGGTGAGGAGCTGAAAGGCAGAAAGGGCCCCTTGCATGATTTTGGTTTGGACAAACAGTGATTCTATCAGTATGATGTGGGAAACAGGACAAGGTGAGGATTTTAGAGGAGAAAATCATGGCTTGTCCTTGACTTGGGCACTAAAGACACCAGACACCTCTTGGACAACATGTACATGAGCCACAGATACACAGACAGGAAGATCTAGAACACCACATGTGGGAAGGCCGTGCCTGCAGAGTCAATCTGGAAATTCCTATTGGCTGTCCTGTGAAAACAGCTCTGGTTACTGCTGATCAAAAGGAATGAATGTAAATGCATAGACAGAAATCTAAACCTTGAGATCTGTTAGAGACGTGGGTCTACTCACCCTTTTTCTCGCTAAAAGGTTCATTAACCTAAGGGTACACAGACAGGGACTAGCAGACAGGGAGCCTGCAGGACACAATCAGGACTCCTGGGGTACAATCAAAGCTCCTTCCTTCTGATATCTAAAGGGTTCAGCCTCCTAGCAATCTATGCCTTCTGGGATATAAGCTCCCTTGCTCCTATTTTAAGAATTCTTTTCAAAAGAAAGAAAGGGGAATAAAACACTTGAATCATCTCAATCTTTTTATTCAGTCAAGTACATGCTAAAGATTTATAATACCTTTAGTCTCTTCTTTCTCCTCAATAGCTTATGTGCTCCACAAGATTATCACCCCTATACTGACACCAAACAGCTATTCAGTAAAGAAAACCCCAAAACAATGACACTGAATCATCCCATCACTTAAAGCCCAAGAAGATAGTTTTTTGTCTTTTTTCTTCATTTCAGATCCTACTTTGGATCTGGTAGGTGGTTCAAAGCAGGGGTGCCCTGGCAGATATAATTTCGATCTCCATATAAATAGTAACACATGAATAACTCAGTAACGCTGGTCCATCTTACCTTCTTCACCCATTGGACACTTGTTGCCAATTCCTATAACACACTCCACCCATCTGATTGGTTACTCAACAAATGTTGACTGGAATGAATGTCATATGACCACCAAGCCAAAATCACAGTGATTTCTGGAAAAAGTGAAAGAACCATTAGTAACTTTAGGTGACATGCATCAATAAAATGACCCACCGCTTTCCAATGGGGATACAGGGCTGCACAAGACAACTTTTTCTCTTCAATGATAATGGTCAATCAAAGATGATATAAAGCAATTACTACAGTTGTGTGAATACTAAGAAAAACTTGTTTGGGATTTAAAGGTAGCAGGGTGGTGTGATGAAAAATATACATATCTGAAACTTTGATTAGAAAATAACATCAATTAAATATCTAACTCTCTGTCCTGTCAACTTTATGTGCATATGCTCTAGTACTGAGCTAATCAATGGTAACAGACATGAAGTTTCAGAGACAATTTCTTGTAGAAAGTCTACTCGAAGCCAGCAGCATGCTTTCAGTTATAGAGTGGGGAGCAGTGTTCTGCAGCTGCCAGATTTTTCTAGAAAAAAAGAATGAAGAACCAAGAGGAACAGTGATTGGTGGTTACAGGAGATGGCATTTCCCCTTCTGGGAGACCAGAGCACCAGACTGACAGAGCAGCAAATCTTCCTCCAGGCAGCAGCATTTCCCTTCACAGCTCCAAACTCCGGATGTGCTATGTGGGACCGTGTTCTGCCTGGGTTGTGGTCTGACTCATCTTCACATATACTGAAGTGTCTAACACATTCTCTAGCCTGGGAGCAAAGCAGCTGTTCAGATATTTGATGAATGAGCTAACACAAGTATACCGGTTGGCTGCACAGCTGTTGTCTTTAAAACCTGAGGCACTGAACCAGAGAAGGTGCCACTGGTAGTGCTTCCCAAGAACTACAGCATGAAGGAATTCTTGAACACCCTGCTGGATCTCGAGAGCTTCTGCCTTCTTGGATCAGCATGGCTTGCATTATGGGCTGAAATGTTTTGTTTTGTTTCCTTGACTTCATTGACTTTATTTCTTTCCAAATCTAGGTTTCTTTACCCATCTTGCTTTTGTCTAACAGTCCCTCAATGCAACTGTGCCAAAACAAAAAATAGAGGAATCTTGTATTTATTGTAGGTCTGTAGATAAGTTGTGTTCATAGCATCCTTGTCTTGGTGACTGTTAACAAGAACAATGAACTGTCTCTTTCTCTTCCCAAGAAGACAAGGGCAGAATATCACTGGGATGATTTCCAGGTGCACGCTGAGTTGTGAAGGAAAAGCCATTCAGAACAGTTCACACAATGCATAATGGATCAGGAAAGAGTCTGCCTGGCAACCACATTAAATGGTGTAGCCAATTGCAAGACACGGTCCACCAGCCAACCACACACCTGGACACTCATAACTTTCTGCGTCTCCTTCTATGTAAGCCTGAGCCTGTGCTGGGTAACCAGTGAAACATTGCAAAAGTGACATCACACTAGTCTCTAAGAACTTGTTGGGCTCCCAAACCATAAAACTAGAAATATGTGCTGTTTAAGGTGGTACTCCAGTCTGTGTTATTTTGTTATCACAGTTGGAGCTGAGTAATGCAGAATGTGGGTAGCCTCTGTTGTGCCTGCTGGTTTGTCTTTGGAGAAGTCAGCTACCATGTCAGAAGTCTGACTGCCCTACAGCATCATTCTATAAGAAAGCAACAGATAACCGGGTGCAGAAGACAAGAGACAGACAGAACGAGACTGAGTGAGGGAGAGACAGGCCCACTCATCTTCAGCTGCCCCATGTGCAGGTGAGTGCAGATGCCAACTTGGACACCCACCCTCTCAAAAATTTCTGTGACCAGTTACGCAGTATCATAGCCCAAGAGACATCAAATGGCAAGCACCTAAAAGAATTCACAAACTCACTATAAAATATAATCAAATTGTTGATATAAAACTGAATTGCGGGATGGCGGGTTAGCTAGCAATAGATAACTGGATGATGATGATGATGATGATGATGATGATGATGATGATGATGATGATGATTTACGTATTTAGTACAGGGTCTCACTACGTAGATCAGACTCATAGCAATCCTCCTGTTTTCAGCCTCCCAAGCCCTGGGATTAGAGGCGTGTGGCACCATGCCCAGTCTCAATCACTGTCTGGGTCTGCATGGCACACTGAGGATTAAACCCTGGCTACTGTGCTTTACCTAAGCAGGCACTTTAGTCTGCTGAGCTATCTGGCCAGCCCTAGATAACTGGATTATGAACAGGGATGAAGGAGACATGCCCCTATTGCCAGGGGCCTCTGTAATAGGTCATTTTTATAAGATGACACCAGGTATCACAAACGCTGATTGCCACCCTCCAACACAAATGCATGAGATTTTTCTGAGGTTATACATCTCCTAACACCCAAAGTGGATGAGAATCCAGCACAGTTGATGTCAGAGCCCATCTTTCTTCTGTTTTCCTGCTCTGCAATGCTATATAAATAATGCCGCCATCTCTGTGATCAATGTGTTTACAAGTCTTCTTCTCAAATCCACAAAAATGAATTAGATTACATACCTAGCCTTGCACTGTCTACTGCCCTGTACAATGTGTCCTGTAGAATTCCTTCCACCCAAAACAGGCACAGGTAGGTAAAATCTCTGGAAGAAAAGTAAACAAAGGAATGGAAAATTGCTTATGGATTCTAACAAGTGAAAACCTTTGGAAAAGAGGCTATGAAGACCATTGTCCCATAGCTATACAATGTGTCTTAGAAAGCAGTGCATATCAGCATCTTCAGCTGTTGCCTAAGCTCTTAGTACAGTTGCTGAGCCTAGGAGGGCAGGCTGGGTTTGCTAGAGGCCTGTCCCCACACAGCTCTTCTTGGCCAAAGTGTCCACTTTTCTCATCTTCCCCAGGACTCCTTCAGCCCTGGAATCCTGTGTTCCTTCATAAGCCAGGAAGCTACAATTCAGCCTGCTGCAGCTGCTGCCCAATCCCCCTACCTCCTCTCAGGAGTGTCTCTTTTTTCTTTTTCAATGACTGCATGCCATCACAGCCACCTCCAGTCCAACACCACTGCCCTCCAGCGGCCCCTTCCATTGCTGTGTGTGGCTGCTCGCAGGACGAAGCCTCCTACAGGCACAGACACTAAATGTCATGCATTAATTCAGAGAGATTGAAAAATCGGGGGTAAGGACGTCATAGCACCAAGGGGATAAAGTGAGGTGGGGAGATGATTATGCACATGCTAAACCAAGAAGACCGTGAGTTGAGTGGTGGCAGCTACTTTTTGCTGAACCCTCAGTATGGAAGGAAGGCTTGCTACAGACAGAACCATATCCTTCTCTTTGCTGATATTTCTTTTTAGGTCTCCGCTCCAAAACAAAACACTTCGGGTCACAGATTTATAGGTATGGTTCCTCTTCTAAAATGTGGGCTCAGCCAGGCCAGATGTGGGCCACGACCATTGCCAAGAGCACAAGTGAAACAAAAACTTGTTCTAATGGGGGAGAGGAGAGAGTTGGCTGAAAGCATATGTGAATGTTGAGAATAGTCCAGCTGGGCATGGCAGCACCTGTCTGCATTCTGAGCACTCAGAAGGCTGAAGCAGGAGGACTGCCATGAGTTTTAGGTAAACCTGGGCTATAGGAAGAGTTTAAGGCCAGCTTGAATTGCACAGCAAGACTCTGTCTTAACAAAACAAAACACTGGGGGCTGAGGAGATAGCTCAGTAGAATAAGCACTTGTGTGGGAAGTGCAAGATCCTGAGATCAGCCCCTGGTATTGCAAAAAAAACAACAAAGAAAAACAATAACAATAACAACAACAACAACAACAACAATCCCACTTCATTTATTCCATCAACATGTGCTTCAGGATCCCCAGGCCTGTGTTTGAGTGCAATGTGAGCATGACACTGGAAAAGAGAAAACAGAGGTGGTGGACTAATCAAAAAAGAGTTGCCACTGATAGGAGCAAGGCAGCTTTGACAGGCAGCTTTTGCAGTTAGGGAAGCTGAGGCTAAGTACATGCCTGTTATGGTTTGTGTCTAGTTGTTCCCCCAAAGTCTCATACAGTTGTGGGCAGGGACTTCTAGAGTTTGTGATTAAGTCATGATCCACTGGGATTATGGGTGATCCAAGGCTGAGATTATGGGTCTTAGTACTCCTGGGATTATGAGTGTGTATATTCCCCCCAGCCTGGGGCAGAGAGCATGAATGTAACATAAGAGAGACAGACAGAGAGACAGACAGACAGACTTCCTCTCTGTTGCCATTATTGCTCCGCTGCCATGAACTGCTGCTCTCTGCCCTGCGCTGCCCTGCCTTGGAGCCAGCTGAGTATGGACTGGAACCCCCATTGACTGTGAGCTAAATAAACCTTTCCTTCTTTCATTTTGGGTGTCAGGTATTTTGTCTCAGCAACCAGAGAAGAGTAACTGAGACAATGTCCAAGTGCAGGGGGGAAAGGAGGTAGTCTGTATTTAACCATCAACAAAACCACCCTTCCCACAGGTCTAAGAACGTATCATAAAACCCAGGGCAACTTCATGCGTATTTCTCCTGGAATGTGGCCAAAGGTATTGCCTACTTTTTGTTACATTGCACAACAGGAAATTTAAGATACAGATCCAAACTCTGATGAAATGTTCATAGATTATTATTGTATAAATAAGTGGAAAAAATAGGTGTTTGAAGCAATTATTAAGCAAAGAGTTTGAAACATGTATTAAGTAAGGAAGCTGGGCAATAGCCATCTAGTTTTCTGTCAGTCTAGAAACAGCACAGATTTGCTGATGGTCCACTGTGCTTTTGGGCTCTGCCACCAGGAAAAGGGGCTGGGGCTGTGCAGAGGACCCTGGTGCCTGCGACGGGAGCATCTTCCTTTTTTAGGTGTCACCTGTTCTCAATGTCATTCAAGTGATAATTAATCTCAATTAATCATTGCCACTGGATGTTTTTCTTTCCTGTTATCTGCAAAATTCCAAACCCATATGGTAAAGAATATTTTATAAGATAGCTTTGTAGATTATGAATTAAAAAAATGTTAGGAGAACCAGTAAGCTATTAATAGGACAGGAAAGTGTTTAACTTCCAGGCTTTGCCTCTTCAAAACTAGTGC